AAAAAAGAATTTGGAAAATGAAAGATTATCAGATTCCCGGTAATGGAACCAATTTGTTTAACCAAAAAATAGGAATTTTGGTCAAAGCCTATTTTTAGAAGTACTCAGGTTACTGATAATCAATAAAATCAATATTCTTGCAGTAAGAAAGGAAATTAGAATAGCAAAGTAATCAATAGAAAGCAAAAGTAAATAAGTGTATTCCAATAATAAGAACGTGTTTGTACAAATGATATTTCTTTCCTTTTTATAGGAATCTTATGTGTACGACGTCTTTCCCCTTTTATGACCGAATCATTACGAGCATTAGTGACATTAATGAGACGTTATAATTGGTAATCGTAATTATTCATAAAGATTCTGTAACATTTGAGATCATTCACGCTCATAAATGGCTGATTCACGAATCTTTCCTTATTGTTGTCCAGATTCATTCCGCCAGTGCCTCTTCATGTAATTGTTTAAACTTGAACGACCATATCTTCTCCTCTCGTGGGTGATTAGCTCGTATCTGTTACTATATGTGCCTCTTTTAATGCATTTCTCCAGTTGTCGCTTTCTCAATTATCCACATGTCTTGTCTTAGCTGCCATTCACATAAATCCACATGTAATATTTATTTTTACCGATACATGATTAAATTTCTTACTATTTTGAAGAATTGTTAGCATTTCTCTAAGTCTTTCTTCTGTCTTAGCTTCAATATTTTTCTATATTCTCTATCATTTTTCTAAACACTTATTACTAGCTAGCAAAGGGTGATTGATGCTATCTTTCTTTCTTTCTTCTGCACTTTATTCACTTTGGATTATGCTAATATTTTAACTACAATACAATGAATCAAGTAGTACTTATTTGTGAAATTAATTTATATAACAAGACATGTAATCAGATGCGATTATTAGCGGTCCTATGGACTCACCACCATGCAAAGTTATTACCTCGAGTCAAAAGATCAATTAAGGAAACCTCCTATGAAACTTCGAGCTCATATTTTTACTAATTTTCTGCTAAGTGGATGAGGTTTTCAATATGAATAAAGTATGTTTTAATTAATTTGGTCAAATTCTTTTTGAGAGTCTCTTTTCTATTATTTGTCCGTCCCAATATTCATGTGTTATTTGACTAGGAAGTAGTAGAAGATGTTCATGATTTGATTCCCCATATGGTCCCTTTAATGTTTAAATAATGGCGCCATATAGACTATACTGTACTTATTTTCTTGTAGTACATTAATAGTACTATAACATTGTATGAGCCATTGAATCTGAAAAAGTGCAAAAGTTGAGGCCGTGCACGAGATTCAGAATCAGTTTGATGTTTTTTCAAGTTGTTGTTCATAGTCAAGCAATGTTCTATCAAATTGGTGACTTTTCTTCGGTCCTCTTGTCTTAAAACCTAAAAAATTATCAATTTTAAAAAAAATCTGATTAAGTATTTTATTTCTATTTGACTCAATATTACTACTCTTCTCTAGTGTTTAAATATGTTCATGAACTTTTTTAACTGAAAAGAGTATGAATGAGTTGCATGTGACGTTTTGTGTATGTTACTCTAATGTGTTACTCCTTCTACTTTATTCTATATAATACTCTTTCCTTTTATTCTTTTTTATATTTGGAAATGCTTAACTTTAAATATTTATTTTACGCTTAATGACATTCTTTTATAGAAATATCACCATAACTTTTAAAATTATTACTTTTGATATATATGCCAAAAGTATTTTCTTTCTTAAACTCGACCGGTGCCTATCAAAAAATAAAATGAAGTAAATATAAATGTACTAGGATTTCTAGTACATGAGTGCACTACTAAAAAAGAGGAAAAAATGTATTAAGGGCTTGTTTGGAAAGTCACCATGTAATTAGATTTGGGTGTATTGAATGTAATTATACAGTTTTGGCATGTTTGTCTGACCAAGTAATTACTTGGTCAGGTCAGGATGTAATTGGGTGTAATTGAGGGGCTGTAATTATACTCTCCAATTCTCAAGAGGGAGCTGAGAATTGCTGGTAATTACATGATGTAATTACAAGGTTATTTTTTGAATATTTGTTCCTTTCTTTTTAATTTACTTTTATTCTAGTTTTTTTCTTTTAAATTTATTTTTATTTTAACTTTTGAAATTATTATTTTTTGTTAAATATATTCCTTTTATATATTATTTATCTTTTATTTTCTTATTTCTCGTTTCTCAATCTTTACTTCACGTGTTTCTACAAAATTTCTCATATTTTGTTTCTTTCTTAATTAATTTTTTTTATTTTCTTATTACACCTAGTTATGTTATTATTCTCATTTTTCTAGAAAATTATACCTTGTAATTTTAGAAAGAATAAGTCATCCACAAACTTGACTTATAACGAGTGGTGTCATTAAAGTTGAACTTTGTTATTGGATGAGGTTATATGCACACTTAACTATGTTAAAATGATAGATTACTTTTTAATATTTAAATAGCATTCTCACTTTTTCAACCTCATTCTCTTGTGATTCCATGTAGTTGCTCATATTTTTTATTTTTCTTTATTTTCTTCATTTAACATAATTGTGCTATTATTCTAATTTTGAAACTATACCGCCTACTAATATTAGAAATAATGAGTTATTAATAATTTGGCATATAATGAGTGGTGTCATTAAAGTAGCATCTCATTGTTAAATGAGGTTATAGACTTATGTTTTCCTTTTCTTATGAATTATATTTATTTAAACTATGTTGAAACTTATTTTATGTTATGTTGTAATTTACATAAGAGTATTATTATTTATTTTTTGAATTTTATGTTATAATTTTTGTTTCATTTTATTTGTTTTAGTAGTATTGACTTATTAATTCAAATTGCATGCCATCCATTTTTCAGTTAGAATTAATAGATTATTTTTCGTAAAATATTTGAGTAATGTTATGATATTATATTTATAAATATCAATATTTTTATCAAGCACGTGATGTTCTTACAAAATATGTATTTTTAGTTTTTATAAATAATTAAAGTATTATTAATTTAAAAATATATGTCAATTATTTACAAATATATGATTAGTATTAATATATTTTAATGAAATAGTATGTATCTTAAATGTAAAGTTTAATATCATTTATAAAGGATATATTTGTTAAATCTTAAATTTTAATTTTTTATAATTAACTTTATATTTAAAATTTAATTTAATTGTGTATTTATACTTGTGCAGTTAGTACACTTGTAATTACATTGTAATTATATTATGACAAATAAACAGCTCGTCGTAATTATAATACTGTAATTACTAGAATGTGCAATTACTACCCTAGTAATTATACTAATTCCAATTACCTTTTGGACCTTAAGTGGGAATTGATCCATATTTCTCTTGGTAAATAACTCAACCTTCAACCAAGTGCACTATTCAATCTTCTTGAAGCATGGGTACCAACAGTTAATATTATATCAATTTTAGAAAATATGTACATAAAATATCTAATTTTACGGAGATACCATGGGTTTACGTACCCATAATCTCCCTATAAATTCTCCCCTTCAAATGTATCTGAAATGATTATTTTATGTGCAAGGCCACAATTTAATACTAATTAAAATGTCATTATTCGAACTATAGTTTTAAACGTGCACTGTTGGATTTTACTTATTGCTCTGTTAACCGTGTTAGAAAATGAGATAAGAGTAATAATAAAAGTTGAACAGTTTTTGGTTGAAATGCGCATTAGAATATTCGACTAATTCTATATCATTATTTTCTTACTTTTGTATAATATCTTTCTTGACTAAAAGGGGGAAATATTAAAATAAATTTAGGTTCCAAATTTGACCAATTTGCTTCCTCTCCAAGTATTACTCCTCCACATACAAAATAGGAGGAGAAGAAAAAGGCTGTAATCTTTGGGGACTTGGAAAGCAAGAAAAGTTTTGAGCAGAGACACTATTGTTGCGGATGGGTACTACATCAGTTTTAATCTACTGCATCAAAATTAAATTTTACAACAAAAAAATTATTTAATTTTACCTATTATATTAGAAAGTCATTAAAAATAGTCACTCTTTGCAATTTAAGTAACTACTTTTAAGTATGTTATTTAAAATATATATTCACGGTTTATAATATATTTAAAGATTAGCAAATTTCGTTCAAACAAATCTAGAGTTTAAACTTTAAAGTGCAAATTTCAATACATCGTATCCTAAAGTTCGAAAATTATTTGCAGAAGTTTGAATCTAATGTCTTGAATTTTAAATTAGTAGTTTAGAGATTCAGAACAATTAGTCCTGAATTTCAAATAAACAGCTAAAAATTCAGAACACTAAAAAATGTAGTCCTGAAGTTTGGATGAATTAACTGATTTTTAAATATATTAATTATGAATATATTTTAAATAGCAAGCTTTATTTGGCCCTCAAAGGCTAGGTGGGACTGTGGCTCTGAGCAAAAGGCACCAATGAGCTGCACAGACACAGAGGGTGTTTGGTTAAGCTTATAAGATGGTCAAACTGGCTTATAAGCACTTTTTGGCTTATCTACCCGTTTGGTAAAATTAAAAGTGCTTATAAGTTAAGTTTTTATAAGTCAAAAGCCATAAGTTGGTCTCCTCCAACTTATCAAATTTCAGCTTATAAGCACTTTAAGTTTGACCAAAATATTTACTATTATATCCCTAAAATACTTCTTTTAAAACAAAACTCTTCGTATACTCAGTTCTTCATGTGCATATTATTAATTTCAGCACTTTTATCCAAACACATAACTACTTATTTTTTAAATTAGTTTCAGAACTTAAAAGTATTTTTCAGCACCTAATGCTTATTAGCTATTCTAAATCAGCTAAGCCGAACGGGCACAGAAGATACCCGGTTTGATCATGTTTGACTGGCGCTAGCGGGTAAGAACCAGGACCCGTCAAGCTTTATCTGATCGTTACTTTTTAATATTTCTTGCCTTCTTTTCTTCTCCTTCACAGAAGGTTCCGTAGCCCTTTTTCTCTTGTCTTGGCTTAATAAAGGCGCAGTATTGACTCCTTGGGCTTTTATATTCATATAATATCCTCTTCGCACTTTTTGGCCTTTTCTTTCTCCTCAAAAATAAAAAGTGAGAGAGAGCCTCCCATTTTCACTTCACCGCTCAACTTCTTTGCTGCCATCTCGTCACTTTAGTCTAAGGTACGCACACCAGTAGACTCAAATGGTTGTTAAACTTTTGCTTTTCAAGTCGAGATTTTTGTTCCCCCAACTTCTTCAGTTCTCAATTTCCTCTCGATGTTATTATTCTGTCGAGGCTTATGGAGTTTCTTATCTTCCTTTAGAAACTTTTTTTTTAAAAAAAAAAAAAAGAATCTAATCTTATGAAAGAGAACTGAAAATTAATGGTGTTCACATTTTTTTCCAGTTTGGTGTTTTGCGCCTGTCTTCTCTTTCATTTCGTGAAGTTTGTAACTTAGATTTGATCTTCCTTCTTTCAGTTCTTTTTTTAATTATTTATTTTCGTGTTTCGATTTTGAGTCATATTGTTATTCATTGCTTTGATTCATTGGGTGATACGTGTATGTTTGTTTTGATTTTTTGCAATTAATTAATGAGTGTTAGATCAGTATTCATGTTTCCACTCTGCGCTTGTTGAATCAGAGCTTCATTTTAATAGTCTGGAATTACTTTTTTTAATTGGCCCTTTCTTGTTGGGCCTCTTTCAGATGTTAGTGAAAAGTTGATTTTTTTTCATAATTGTAATAATTAGTTTAATGTGACCAATTAAGTTTCTGAAAGTCTTAGGTTTTGTTTCCACCCATTATCTGGTTCTTCTATTTCTTTGGAGTCTTCTATCCATATTAGCCAGTATAAGTTTGCTTCTGATTAAAGAAATAGTTATCACCTTTTCAATATATGCACAGCTTAGTATATTCTCATTGCTTAATTTTGTTTCATCCCTCTTTTCTCCTTGTAATCCTTTCCTCCTTTCTCCTTTATTTGTAGATTGTTTTGTGCACAACTTTTATGGATCCTCGGTTCAATCCGTTGCCTCATCCTGTAAACACTTTCGAGTTCGAAGATCAGATCAATTTGTCTAGCTTTGAGGAATCACTGAATCATCCTCTCAGTTATACGGATAACTATGTAGCTTTTGGTGCCCCATACAATACATCAAGTCCAGACGTTGGTAACTTTGCTCCATCCTCAAATGTGAGCTCGGAAGTGGACTCTCCAGATGATCACGACTCTGATTCGCTGTTCAAGTACCTTAACCAGATACTAATGGAGGAGAATATTGAAGATAAGCCCAGCATGTTCCATGATCCGCTTGCTCTAAAAGCTGCTGAGAAGTCCTTCTATGAAGCCCTTGGCAAGTCGTACCCTCCTTCACCCTATCGTACCTCTGATTATGTTTACCATCAGTTAAAAAGCCCAGACAGCATTTTCTGGAATTCCAGCGAGCATAGTACAAGTAGTAGCAATACTGGTACTAATTCCACCGATCCTCAATGGGTTGTTGATCCTGGAGAATTTAGGTTGCCCGTAGAGGGTCATCCATCGGAATACAACGTCCAACCTTTGGTGCAGAGTAACTCAGAGAGGTCCCGTGGTTCTTTAAACAACTTCAATAATTCAAATGCCCATGTGGACACTTTAGTAAATCCTAATGTATTTACTGATAGTGAGTCCATCTTACAGTTCAGGAGAGGGATGGAGGAAGCTAGTAAATTCCTTCCAAACCTTAGTCAATTTGTCATCGATTTGGATAAATATACATTGCCTCCAAAGATGGAGGAAGTATCCAAAGAGGCTGTCGTCAAGGTAGAGAAGGATGAGAAGAATCACTCACCTAATGGCACGAAAGGAAGAAAGCATCAGTATCCCGAGGACAGTGATCACGAGGACGAAAGGAGCAACAAACAATCAGCAATATATGTGGAGGAGGAGGTTGAGTTATCAGAGATGTTTGATAGGGTTCTGCTTTGTACAGATAAGGGGACAGGATGTGGTGATGTCAAGCGTGAGATGCCATCTGAAGTAAACATGAGTTCAGATCAGAATGGACAAGCACATGGATCAAATGGTGGAAAAACTCGTGCTAAAAAACAAGCGACTAAAAATGAAGCTGTGGATATAAGGACTCTCTTAATTAGCTGTGCACAATCTGTTGCTGCTGACGATCGCAGGACGGCAAATGAACAGCTAAAGCATATCAGGCAGCATTCTTCACCCACAGGTGATGCATACCAGAGGCTGGCCAGTGTATTTGCAGATGGCCTTGAAGCTCGGCTGGCTGGCACTGGCACTCAACAATATGCTGCCCTTGCCCCGAAAAGGATCACAGCTGCTGAGAAATTGAAAGCATACCAGGTTTACCTTTCATCATGCCCGTTCAAGAAAATATCAATATTCTTTGCGAATAAAATGATCTTCCACACAGCATCGAATGCCAGGACATTGCATCTCATAGATTTTGGTATAACATACGGTTTCCAGTGGCCAATACTCATCCAGCTTCTCTCACAGATACCTGGTGGGCCTCCAAAGCTTCGCATTACTGGAATAGACCTTCCCCAACCTGGCTTCAGGCCAGCAGAAAGCTTAGAACAGACGGGGAGCCGCTTGGCAAAATATTGTGAGCGCTTTCATGTTCCATTTGAGTATAATGCGATAGCAACACAGAATTGGGAGAATATTAAAATTGAAGACTTGAAACTTGCAAGTGGCGAGACTGTTGCT